GCTGACCATCTGCCTACAATAGACCATACAATACCAACAAAGGGGTTGTTATGTCAGACGTGTAGCAGCACCAGGAAAAGAAATGTATAATGTGAAGGTATTGTATGAAAGATTGAAATTCTTTTGTGAGCATGCGCTGAGCTAGGGAAAGTTACATACCATTGTCTCTTAAATGATTGACAGATGATGTCACAAGATGAAAGAGATCTGGAGAATTTTTTTTTATGGAGGGTGCATACTCACCTATGATTGCCTATCAAGACAAAATGTAAAATTCTCTACTTGTACATCGATCACATTTTCCATGCCTCAACATTACCGCTGTAGCTAGCTAGGTTTTCTTTTTCACGGTCTCGGACTGATTTCCTACAACAATTTTTCTTTTCTTTTTATTAACTCGTCATGACGCTGTAATAAAATAAAAATCATTATTAATAACAGCAATTACGCCCAAAATTACCGGGCTAATACGCCTTATTACGGCGTAAGTATGCCCTAATTGCCGGCGTAAGTACGCCCTATTTCGGCGTTATTACGTCGTGAGACTTTAATCCTTCAAATCAGTGAGTGTCAGTGGCGCAGCATGAGGTCCACCCACTGAAGGGGCACTGGAACGACTGGGTGGGTGTGAATTTACAAGACTACTGAATAGGGCGAGCGTGTGGAAGGCTTCTTCTAGCTTTTCTCTTATTTCCTTAACCCCTCCCTTTTTCTCCGTTTCTCTCTTTCTCTCTCTCTCTCTCTCTCTCTCTTTCTCTCTCTCGTCTTACATTTCTTTCTTTTTCTTTCTTTTTCACCACTTCAAAGGGCCACGCCCCTGTATTCCCGCCACTGCAAAGGCTATTATAATTAGTGCCTCTTATAGGCTGGAATCAATTACAATTGCATGCATCTCAAGTCTATAATTCTAAGTCCTCGACAACGCACGCCACCTCTTAAATCTGAAAATGACTGGACTAACCTGGACCCTACGATTTCATAAGCTTATTATAACAGCCATTGTAACTTGTTATTGATATCAAGTTTTAATAAACATGGCCATGGTTTATAAGCTCGAGTTTTTACACGAGGCAGATTATTATAGTGCATGGTTTTCCGTTCTAATTACCATGATTACATTGTAGTTATCTTGAATCATCCTTGCTTTTGACAGACAGGATATATTATGCTTTGAATTACTATTTCTAACCCTCGGGGCTCATCAAACACACTGGCGCAGCGTCAGGGGGCCAGGGGCTTGTGCTCATTCCCCCCCCCCCCCACCCATTGACTGACCGATAAAAAAGGGAAAATTATAACAGAGAGAGAGAGAGAGAGAGTTGAAATGAAAGATAATGGAAAAGGCGAGAATAGAAGACGGCAGGACCCCTCCAACACATTTTCCTTTATCCAGTAATACAGCGTTGATTAACCTCCATTAGTCGAGGGACCTTTTTAAGAAATAAAAAGTTTCTTGGCACACCAGTGACCAAATTCAGCAATCACAGAAAATTCATTTGACATCATTTTTTCGCTCGTCAAGTTACATCTATGGCATACTGCGGGCACATTTTCGTGAGAGGGGTGATGCTTTTGCCGCTCAGCTCCTAAATTTTCCGGGAAAGCAGAGTGAGGGAGCAAATTCATTAGCTAGTGAAACGAGTGAGGAAAAATAGTTTACTAAGATAAAAATTCGATGTAAAAAAAAACTCATATGTATTCGGGCACCTCGCTGCCAGACTATTAGGTAGGTTTCTAGGCACATCACTGCCTGAGACCATCCGGTTTCTGAAGTTGGCGAGCGTGGCAAAAATACACTTTATTATCTTTAAAATGTTACATGTATTTCTTCATCAGATTACACGAACTAATACATAGTTTTTTGGGGCACCCTGCCGTCTGCATATGAGGTGACTAAGGCCCACCCACCCCTCCCCTCATCCTCGTATACGTCTATTTGTAGTGCGACAGACAAATAAGCACAGGCGCGGATCCAGGGGGGGCCGAGCGGGCCTTGGCCCCCCCCCCCCCCCGCAAAAAAAAAAAAAAAAAAAAAAAAAAAAAGAGAGAAAAAAGGAAAAGAAGCGAAAGGGAAAGAGGAGAGAAAGTGAAAGAAAGAAGAGGAAGAGGAAAAGAAAAGGGGGAAGAAGGAGATCGGGGGGCCGAAAGGGCTTTGCCTCCCAGGCTGTTGACCCCCCCCCCCCCCCCATAAAACAAATAAGAGAGAAGGAAGGAAAGGTAAAGGAAAAGAGGAGATACTGGCGTACTGAAAGGGGGGGGGGGGCTTAGTGGAAATCAAATTCAAACGTGGTTTATTTCTAATTCCACAACGGTGATTACAAATAATGCTGAAAAGACATCATTTCCGAGATTTTTCCTCACTTTTTAGTAAATTATACGTTTGTATGTGTTTGTTGGAAAATGACAAATTCCTAAATTTGCAGAGTCAGGCAAGAAATATGATTCTTGATATTCCTACATGTCAGGGCCCGAGGTACGGCGGGGATCGGGAGCCTCGAGCTCTCCCCCCCCCCCCCCCCCCCACACTTTTGTTGAAAAAGTATATTAAAGAGAAATAAAATAGAATGAGAGCAAGAAAGAAAGAATAGTTAACTGCCAGCGTTAACAAATAATGAGGCATCAAAATATGCTCATCTGACCGTGATTAAATGCCTAAAACCCCTAAGCTTCCGTGGGCTCTGCCCCCTGGATCCCGCCAAGGGCCCTACGGCGGGCCCTTAGATGCTCATCTGACGGTAATTTAATGCCTAAAACCCCTGAATTTTGGGGGGGCTCCGCCCCCTGGACCCAACGCCAAATAGTTGCCTGCCAGTGTCACGAAATAATAAGGTATACAAAGAAAAATATGCTCATATGACCTTAATTAAACGCCTAAAACCTCCGACCTTCCGGGGCCGGCTTCGCCGCCGCCCCAGACAAGGATTAACAATCGAGAACGGTACTGCGAATCGTCTTCTTTGTCTCATAATCTTATGAAACGTGAAGCTTCCGCGCTTTGCGCGGGAGGGGGAACCTGAATTCAGACAAGGATTCAGAGGCGAAAACGGTAATACCAATCTTTTATGATTTAATAAAACGTAAAAGCTTCCGCGCTTCGCGTGGGATGGAGGGGGGGGGGACTTAATTCCGACGAGGATTATTTTCGAGAGCGGTACAACGAATCGTCTTCTTTCTCTAATGATTTATTGAAAATTAAAAGCTTCCGCGCGAACCTGAATTCAGACGAGGATTAAGAGTCGAGAACTGAACAGCAAATCGTCTTGTTTCTCTAATGATTTAATGAAACGTAAAAGCTTCCGCGCTTCGCGCGGGTGGGGGGAGAATCTAAATTCAGACGAGGATTATTTTCGAAAACAGTACAACGAATCGTCTTTTTTTCCTAATGATTTTAGGAAACTTAAAAGCTTCCGCGCTTCGCGCGGGAGGGGGGGGGGATCCTGAATTCAGACGAGGATTAAGATTCGAGAACGGTACAACGAATCGCCTTCTTTCTTTTATAGTTTAATGAAACGTCAGAGCTTCCGCGCTTCGCCCAGGAGGGGGAGAGGGGGGGGGGGAACTGAATCTAGACAAGGATTAAGAGTCGAGAACGGTACAACGAATCGTCTTCTTTCTCTAATGATTTAATGAATCGTAAATGCTTCTACGCTTCGCGCGGAAGGGGTAAACTGAATTCAGACGAGGATTAAGAGTCGAGAACTGTACAACGAATCGTTTTGTTTCTCTAATGATTTAATGAAACGTAAAAGCTTCCGCGCTTCGCGCGGGAGGGGGGGAGAATCTAAATTCAGACGAGGATTATTTTCGAAATCGGTACAACGAATCGTCTTTTTTCTCTAATGATTTAAGGAAACTTAAAAGCTTCCGGGGGGGAACCTTAATTCAGACGAGAATTTAGAGTCGAGAACTCTACAACGAATCGTCTTCTTTCTCTAATAATTTAATAAATCCTAAAATTTTCCGCGCTTCGCGCAAGAGGGGAAAAACTAAATTCAGACGAGATTTATTTTCAAGAACGGTACAACGAACCGTCTTCTTTTTCTAATAATTAAATGAAACGTCAAAGCTTCCGCGTTTCGCGGAGGAGGGAGGGGGAAATTCGCCCCTCCCTGCACCGACCCCCCCCCCCCCCGCATCACGTCACTGTTGGTCACCATTACGTACCAATATTTGGCTCGCATAATTTCAAATTTGGGCCCCCCCCCCCTAAGAAATCCTGGATCCGCGCCTGAATAAGCACAAGTAGACTGCCAGCACCGGTGTCTGAGGATTGTATGCTGTATCTATACTCTTTCTAAATAAAATTGACGTAATTCCAAACTATTAATATTATTTCCTTGTTTACTCGCGATGCACCTTGATAACGGCCGGTTAAAATCAGAGTATTTAACTGTAAAATCGCTAATAGCATATCATTTTCCGAATCAGACGACACCCCCTCCCCCCTCCCCCGCTCGTGCGATGATGTCCGTGCCACTTCGCCACTTATCAAGCACAAGGATCATTAATTTTGTTACTCTTTCGCGAATATGAAGAACGGATGTAAAATAATCAGCGCGCCATGATTGGACACTTGACGGTAATTGGGCTCTCTCTCTTGTCTGAACACAATCACAACGACTTCGAAGAAATTTCAATGCAATTACCCTATTGACAATGTAATTTGTTTACCTCGTAAAAATAAGTGATCGAAACAAAAGGACTACTTTACAACAACAAAAACATGTTGAAAGAAAATGATTTAAAATATCTCGCTTTGCCATTCCATCCCACAGAACGATCGAAATTTGTAAGAGCAAGACGCATTGTTGTTATCAAAGCCCATCGTGAATCACGAATACATTCAACAGCTTTATTGATTCAACGTGTTTTAAATGTTCCTCGCTGTATAAATCTACAATTATTTATAGAGGAGGCAACTGGCATACACAATCCTGTTAACAGCATAATCAAATGTTTATGAAACAAGTCTCTTTGTTCAACCACGACCTCAATTCAGGATGAATGCTTTCCAACTGACAAATATCGCAGTCGCCTCCTGTGCCGGTGCAATCGGCATTCCAGGTAACATTTTCATTGTATTCGTCTTCAGTCGAAGAAAAAATAAAAACCCAACTGATGTTGCGGTGATCGCCCTTGCCCTCCTCGACCTCTTTCTATGCTTGCTTTTGATTGAAGGCAGTGCGACATCCAAGACTGTTCGTTGGCTGTGCGTCGTCGAAAACATGTTAAAGGATGGCATCTCTATTGCAGGTCTGTTTATAACTTTATTCATAGCTGTGTGTCGTTATTTCGCGGTCTGCCGCCCGTTTTCAACCCGGTTTTCGTCGCCTCTAGCTTGGACAGTGTCAGCGGCATCTGTTGTTATCTCGATCTTGATTTACCTGCCGATCGCATTTCATACTAGACCAGCGAAAAATTCCCAAGGCATCGCTATCTGCAACGCCTTCGGGAATGATGATCTGCTTCGTAAGATATACGTTGCGCTCCCTTCTGTCCTGGCTGGCTCTTCGTTGTCTATCATCGTAGTGCTGTACGTGAAGATCTACAGCGTAATTCGTCACCACCAGGCTCTTCGAGAGAGGATGACAAATGGCCTAGGAGCCAGTGATGCTAAAGGGCGCATCTCCTCGATATCAGCTACCGTCTCGAAGACGAAGTCCACCGCCAACATTTCTACCCCTACTGACCGCCAGCCGTCAGTTCAATCATCAAGTGCACCTACCGCTGGCGACGATGTCAGCAGTAATGCTGATACAAAAGCAAATGATGCCTCTGGTTTAGGTGACGTCAACGTTTCAATCAACCACAAGAAGCCTCGATGCAGTGGTACTGAAGAGCCGCACAAGAAGCGTACAACAGGAAAGAAGCAACAGGCGGACCACAAGACAACCAAGATGCTCGTCATCGCGACTATTTTCTTTTTCGTCTTGTTGATCCCTGAGTTGGCCATTAAGCTCTTGACAACCGAACAGAAGTTCCGCTTGGCTCAGACCCTCCCTAAAGGCGTTGCCATCCTTACTTTTCTTTACAACCTGCACTACATCAACCAGTTCATCAATATTTTCATCTATCTCATCGCTAATAAGAAGTTTCGAGGAGAATGCGTTCAAATTTTCAAGTCCTAGTAATGATTACAGAAAATATCGTAAATTACACAAATGATTCATTTTCATTATATGAATTCATTTTTTTTGAAAATATTTCGGAATTCCGTTTGATATCATTATCATCAAATGTAAAGGTAAAAGAATCGTGAACTACAGAATAAAATAAAAACTATGAACGAGCAAAAGAAATTTTGTTCTAGAAAAAAGATACCGAGAATTACCGATGTTTTATCACAAGTTAATCACAATTCATTTCGTCTTCTTTGTGCATGGTTGATCGTCAATGAGACGGAGTTCAGTCTTTTATCAACTCTGTTTGTTGCTACAGCAGGCAGCCAGTGAAAACGAATTCGTTTAATCAAATTATGGAAATGCAAGCATTACTTTAAACAAACAGAACTTTGTTATTCCTGGCTCATTTTTTTCCTGATTGAGGTGTCATATGAAAGAGCAGAAAATGAAGTTTCTAGAAATGATACCGCCCGCCAAATTACTTTTTGGTTTCCTCTCTTCAAATTTGTTTTAATCACTCATGCGTGAAATATGATATGACATCATATGAGTTGCAGCAAATAAAAGAGAAGGATCTAAGCTTTACATTGTGATTAAGTTATGATAAAACATCGATAACTCTCGGTTTCGTATTTTCGCACTGTATATGACTGGTGAATGTAAGTGTTCCATAAAAACCCTTTGTTCAGATAAATATGGATGTATATGAGGAGGAGAAAGAAAGAAGGAATGGCTGAGAAAGAGAGCATAAAGGATAGATTAAGGTGGAGAGGGTGAGAAAGATAGAAAGAAACAGCTGTAGGATAACATGAGAATACGATATCGCAATATCCTCGTACAAGCAGGGAAAGAACAGAATATAAAGAGAGGAAACAGTTTAAAGTTGGTCATTTCATTATATCTCGTGTATTTATTTGTACAACATAAGTTTGACATGGATATTTTAGATGCTTACATGTATTATATTTCTGATGTTTGTAAACTATGACAAACATTATAATTTACATAGTATTGATTTTCATTTAGTTATATAGCTCGTTTCGGATTGCTATATAACTTAGCTGTCTTCATGCATATTTATATATCTATATAGAGAAATGATTCAACATTACGCTGTTTAAAACGCAGGTCTTAGACTGCAATGAAGTAAATCGGAATAAATCTAATAACCTGGACAAAATACTTAATTATTTTGGCAAATGATAACCGTGTTAATGATTATGAAATACTCTCACCTAATTTCCTTGAATAATCATTCCAATTCTCCATCTTGGCGATTTCCTTAGTATTGAGAATCCTTAGTAACGAAATAGTTACCGATTTCTCTCAATTTGAGTAGTAATAATGTTTATCATGTATACGTTACCGCTATCAATCACCCAACTCACCCGAAAATAAACATGTATGCTGATGATGCAAATATTTTATTCGAAGGAACCTTTAAGATATGTTGAGAAACATGCAATCCCAATAAACAAAATCACGTGAAAATCACGTCAATATTAAGGTATCGACTTGAGGAGAGTTACGTTCTTCAAACACCTGACATTTACGTAAATGTGTTAATACGTTTATACCCTTTTCACATCTACCAAATATTGCTTAACCCGGGAAATAGGTGGGGCTAAGGGGGCTCTTAGCCCCACCAATTCCTTCCTTAGCCCCACCAATTACCCGGGGTAATTTTAGCCGGCTTTCTGTTCACATTACGTTTTGCCAAAGTGGGCTAACCCCACAAATAGTACGGGACTATCTGGCCCTGCAAAATAGCAGGGTTAGCCGGGCAATTGTGGTGCTAAGCTGCGTAGTGTGAATCCGAACCGGGCTAAGGAGAAGCGGGGCTAAGCAACAGCCAATCACAGACAGCGTGGTCGTGTGGTCGTGAATTTGCATTTATCGCGCGCTATGCATGCAGTTCACGTTACGCATGCATGCAGTTCACGTTACGCATGCGCGGTAGCAAAAGCATTAATATTCATGAGCTATCGAATAGTCCGGGGCTAAGGCGAACGTAGTGTGAATCGCGTGAAATTTCTTAACCCCGGCTAAGCACATAGTCCGGGGTTAAGAAAATAGATGTGAACAGCAAAAAAAATAGTATGGGGTTAAGGATAGTATGGGGTTAAGGATAGTCCGGGGTTAAGAAAAATAGATGTGAAAAGGGTATTAGTGCACTTATACCCTTTTCACATCTATTTTTCTTAACCCCGGACTATCCTTAACCCCATACTATCCTTAACCCCATACTATTTTTTTTGCTGTTCACATCTATTTTCTTAACCCCGGACTATGTGCTTAGCCGGGGTTAAGAAATTTCACGCGATTCACACTACGTTCGCCTTAGCCCCGGACTATTCGATAGCTCATGAATATTAATGCTTTTGCTACCGCGCATGCGCCTTACGACTAAACGTGAACTGCATGCATGCGTAACGTGAACTGCATGCATAGCGCGCGATAAATGCAAATTCACGACCACACGACCACGCTGTCTGTGATTGGCTGTTGCTTAGCCCCGCTTCTCCTTAGCCCGGTTCGGATTCACACTACGCAGCTTAGCACCACAATTGCCCGGCTAACCCCGCAATTGCCCGGCTAACCCTGCTATTTTGCAGGGCCAGATAGTCCCGTACTATTTGTGGGGTTAGCCCACTTTGGCAAAACGTAATGTGAACAGAAAGCCGGCTAAAATTACCCCGGGTAATTGGTGGGGCTAAGGAAGGAATTGGTGGGGCTAAGAGCCCCCTTAGCCCCACCTATTTCCCGGGGTTAAGCAATATTTGGTAGATGTGAAAAGGGTATAGGTCACTTAAAACACGCAATTGTCACTGCAATATCACCATTATAATAGCGTGATTATCCCTACCTTGGAGACCATGGTTGGTAAACCTAATACTCCCGTGTTTGTTTGGTTATGAAATTAGTTTTAGTCAGTTTTAGTTTTAGTCAAAATATCTGCGTGAAATTCACGTGAATATTACGAGGCTGACTTGAGATGAATCATGTTTTTCATTCACGTGAAATTTACGTCGAAGAGGAAATATGTTACTATAACCCGCGTTCAACCCAATAATTACGCAAATGTTACACAATACATGAACCAAAATAATGACGTTCTCATCCCGTTTCTGAACATCGTGTTTTGGATCTTCCATAATTACGTCCAAGTGCGCCGGAAGCAGTTTGGGATTAGAGGGGGTGGGGGAGGGGATGGGGGTGGGGATGGGGGTGGGTGCAAACATCCCAGAAGAGAAAGCTAGTTGCAACTGGTCCAGTTGATGAACCAGTTAATGCCACTGGTTACCCTGGAAATTGAAATGATCCAGATGATCCAGACCAGTTAGAATTCGACTGGTCTAGCTGAGCCATTAGAACCATTTGGTAAAACTTCCAACCAGTTGAACGACAAAAACACTTCAATACTTGTACGTCTGTATTTCCAATGTAAAGGCATTGGTAATAAGTAGACTTACATAATTTAATTAATCGAAATTTGTTCATATACTTGTATTTTATTTAAATTATTTTAGTTCATAGTTCATGTTTCCCTTATTCACGTTTAATTAAATGTAATTTATACGAAGTAGCGAAATTTCCTAATAACTGGTAATTTATATTTGTAGTATTTTCGAAATCATGAATTGCATATTACTAAATCATTAGTAATTAAGCAATATGCTGTAAATTCAGATAAATTGTTTTAATAACATAGATCTGCACGCACCCCATATTGAATATGCAAATTAATTGGTGTCAGCTGGTTCAACTGGAAATATGCCAACAGTCAGTCATCAACTGGTGCAACTGGAAATATGCACACAGACCAGTTATCAACTGGTGAAAATAGAAATATGCCGACAGTCACGGGACTATCACCACGGAACTTAAATGGTAACTGTGAAACCATCAAAATACCCAAGAATAACTCATTTTTCACACCTGGAAGTCACGGAATACCCAGCTTATATTATTAATCCGTTTGAGTCACGAGATCATCACCGCGGAACTGCTGGCAACTTTGACTACCATTTAAATACTTGTTTTAAGACACCTAATAATTACAAATTTTTCACACCTAAACATCACGGATTCACAGCTTAGATTAGTAATCAGCTTGAGCCACGTGATCATAACCAAGAAAGTTATGGTAACTTTGAAACCATTTAAAGAGGTGTGTAAGACACCTCAGAATTACTATTTTAATATAACCAGAGATTCACGGACAAAACAATAAGATGATTGGCCGGTGTAAGTAACGTGATTATTACCATCAACCTTGAATAACCTGTGAAACCAATCGATAAAGGTGCTTACAAGACCAAATAATTACTTATTTATCACCACCATCGGTTAACGGAAAAAATCTCGTTGCTTGGTCAAGTGGTTATTTGGTCATAAACACTTGATTTACAGAGGTAAGTGGAATCACGTTACTCCAGTCGCGTGATAAATTGGTGGTTTTTAGGTTAGATGAAAACATGAACAGGAGTACCTTTTTTGTTTAAATGAAGGCACGTTTCGATAACGTTTAAATCTAGTTCAAAAGGCACCATACTTTAAAATCACTTAAAATACACTCCCAAAAGAGGTTACTTTTTAGTGTTTTGTTTATTGGGATGTGGTATTTACGATGTCTTGTTATGGTTGAAAGACTTCAATTTTACACTCAATGTAAAGCAAACTAAGTTCATGATATTTAGTACAAGTCAACGTCTTAGTGCCTTCACTAACCTGCACCCAGGGGCGGCGATTTCTTTTCATGACCGGGGGGACGAAATGCGAGGGACGAGGGAGCAGTGGCGTAGTGAAGAAAAAACGTTTTGGGGGCAGAAAAAAAAATCCACATCACCACCACTCTTACATGTTACGCAGTCCCTGGGAACGTTTTTCATTTTTTTTTTTGGGGGGGCGGGGCTAAAGTATTAATGATCAGGTAGAGCAAAGCAAAGCAAAGTGTGGCGTAAATTGGTGCGGGGTCCAGGGGCGAAGCCCCATGAAGCTCAGGG